TTGTCCTGAATGAAGAATGTTCTGCCGTAATCCTCAACAAGAGTTTACCAGAAAAACTCAAAGATCCAGGAAGTTTCACTCTACCATGCATCATCGGTAAACTAGAAGGGGAAAGAAGTTTGGCCGATATTGAGGCAAGCATTAATGTTATAACAACTTGGGCTAGGCGAGCTCACTCCGACCAAGATGACTATCCAACTAGCAGACAAATCCACACGCCACCCCCGTGGAAGCTTGGAAGATTTGATCGTGAAGGCGAGACCATTTTTCTTCCCAGAAAATTTTGTGATCATGGATACTGATGAGACTGACGCTTCGCTAATCCTTGGCAATCTCTTCTTAGCAAAGGCCCGGGCTATAGTGGATGTTCATGACGGGAGATTCACTCTACGAGATGGAGATGCCAGTGCCGCCTTCCGACTAAATGATGGAATGAGATATGCTCATGTTCTTGATGCCCTCAACTCAGGTGATGATGAAATTGAAATGGAGTATGCCTTCCTTAGCAACAACTCCAAATTGCCAGTCATCATTAACTCATCTCTTTCTCCACATCAGAAGGAACAACTAGTGGCTCTATTGAAGAAACACATAAGAGCAATTGCTTGGAATGTCATAGACATCCAAGGGACAAGTCCATTTTTTGCACCCATAAGATTCTTATGGAGGACGAATACAAGCCAGTGGTACAACCACAACGTCGCCTAAATCCAAACATGAGAGAAATGGTAAAGAAGGAAGTGCTAAAGCTTCTTGATGTCGGGATAATCTATCCAATCTCTGACATCCCTTGGGTCATCCCGGTACAAGTAGTTCTGAAGAAAGGGGGCATGACGGCCGTTCCCAATAACAAAGGGGAACTCATCCCAGCCCGAACAATAACTAGTTGGCACATTTTCATCAATAGTTGGCCAGATATGATCTTGGCCAATTAGCAAAAAGTGACGCTGGAAACAATGGTGGGGCAAGAGGTCAGCCATCACATGCGCCATGTTTGGGTGTAACCATCACCACTTTGTGTCTCCTCCAGTCACTGGTGGTAGAAATACAATTAATGGTGGAGGCTATGGTGGTTTACACAAAAAAAAATTGTATCTTAACTCGATTGTTTTCATACTCATTTAAATCGACCTTTGGATCAATTGGATGAGATTTGCGAGATAAATAAAATAATTTTAAGAAGTTTCGCCAACTTTTGATGAAACCAGTGTTGAGAACAAAGGTTTTGGCAAAAGATGGTAGAGATCCAACATCAAGCGTTGCTACTAAGGATACAAGTATTCTAGACTCCGGTGCCGAACTACTCAGCCACGGGTGGAGAACTCATCATATCCGGTGACAAGTCAACCACTTCTTAAACGTGGTGGTTGTGGCAAGAAACTCGTTCCCACGTTCACCACTCATGCAAAGCAACTACCTGTGCAGACAGTTACTTTAAAAACCGTCTCAGAGGCAAGACCATGCTTGAACGTGAGAATTGGTAGAGGGTTAAAATCTATGGATCAAATACCACTACAAACTCACCCACCCTCATTGCTACTTTTACTCAATGAGTATGGTGGATGCAAACCGCCATGGGGGCAGCAAGGAGGGCATGAAAACCTACCACCTGACAAGTTCACAGCAAAGTGTCAAGCTGGGGGGCAGTGGCGTAGCTAGAAATTTTGTTAAGGTAGGTCCAATATAAAAAAAATCATGTTAATATTGCATGATAATTCACGACGTATTTCCATATATTAAAAAGCATATGTTTCACATATAATTCATTACGAAAATTGCATCCGGTAAAAGGTGAAGAGGGCAATGATAATTGTGGGGGAATTTTGAAAGCATATCGGGTAGGAAAGATAATTTCGACCGGACTCATTTTACCTGACTTGTTTGACCTGTTTTTAGGCAAGTAATACCCGCCTAGTAGGCGAGGCATGGGTACTCTCCTAGACTTAACCTGCCTTGACCGGCCAAATTTTCGTCATGTTTCCCTCTAAATTACCTGTAATTTTACTCAAATTATTTAGAATTTTACTTTTATCATATCATGTTCTAGCTATAATGAAGTTATAAATATGTGAGACTTAATTTCTCAAATAATTTAACTATATTTATGATATTATAATTTGTCTCCTGATTTTTTGATGAATAAATGAATATTTCTAATGTTTTGCATTTAAACCACATACTCATATGTGTTGACCTATCCCAATCTGTGCTCCATAATAGAATACCCTACCTGTACCCAACATGCCATGGGACGTATATGAATAACGAGATATCCATATCGCGAACCAGCCCTTTTATCATTTTTAATACTAGGGGTAGGGATGGGTAAATACAGGCAAATGAGATTGTATTTCCGTTTATATAAGCTCCAATACTACATAATAAATATATTATATTTCTAATAAAATGACTTATGGTCTAGCTTTGAAAACTGAAAAGCCTTCTAATTAATGGGAAGCAAGTCCCTCCTTCAAAGCTCCTCCATATCCGCCGCGTCGTTGCTGTATTGGAATTTGGAAGGCTGGCCAAGGTGGTGCAGCGGCCTACCTTGGCATGGTGTGGCTCCGCCACGCGCTGGAGGACACGTTGATGTCAAGGAAGGTGTACAGGGTGTATTCAGGAGAACACCACGTTCTTGGTCTAGGTGTGGCAAGGAGGGCATATCATCTACCATGAGCAATGGCATGGGGGGCATGTCATCAACCACAAGCAGTGGGAAGATAGACTTACCCAAGGAGGCCCAACAATCCCAAACCACACATTCTGGTAGTAAGCATGCTATGACTAAGTGTGACAGGGAGTGCATGTCATCAACCACAAACAGTGGACAGATAGACGTACCCACGAAGCCACAACAAGCCCAAGCCTTATGTATTTCTAGCAAGAATGTTAGTGTAGCTAAGTGTGGCAAGGGGCCATGTCTCCATCCCCATGCAGTAGAGTAGGGGGCATGTCATTGATAGTAATGAAACGAGTGGGAGACATGTTATCAACCACTAGCAGTGGACAGATAGACATACCAAGAAATCCCAAAAGCACAGAGCCATATGTGATGGTATAGCCAGGTGTGGCAAGGGGAACATGTCAGCAACCACAACTAGTGGGTTGATAGGTGTGCCCAATAAGCCACAATATGAAACCACACATGGTTTTAGTAAGCATACTAATATGGCTCAGTTTGGAAAATGGGGCACGTCCACAATCATGAACAAAGGTATGGGGGGGCATGTCTTCAACCAGTGGAAAGGGGGGCATGTTATAGACAGTGAAGAAACGAGTGGGGGCAAGTCTAGGAGTGTTCATCACACCCAAGCCCTCTACGATTTTCACCATCATGAGAGTGTGTTGAGAAATAGACAAAGAGGCCAGTCTATGCCTAACAACCCCCATGGCATGCCAAACATGAATGGCAAACAAGAAAGTAAGAATAAGACATCTCGACACACACCAACCAATCATGGTCCTATAAGGGATCAAAGGTTGTTATGTATTAAGTGTAAAAGCCATGAAGACATGGGGTTTGGAAAGAGTCAAGTTGGTATCATCTCTATCGCAACTGCAACTGCAAGAATAAGCAGTCGATCGCACCCGCAGCAAGAGACAGCAGCCGCAAGAGCGTGATAGAGAGGCAGATCGAGATAGAGGTTAGTTCGATGATAGTGAGTATCAAATGAAGCCCCCGGCAATGGACGACATTGCTATAGCAGCTGCGATAATTAAATCACTCAATAGATGACGATGAGATCTGAAAGAAGATTAGGAATCAAGTTGGGCAGAACAAATTGTTATTGATTTTTTTAATTGTTCTAATTACAGTTTATTAGTTCTTGTATTTAGTCACAAATTTTATTATGGGTACGTAGATATATGTGTGACAATGATATAAAGTTGTGATGTCTAAAGTTTTAAGAAGTGTTAATATTTTGTGATGATGATATATTTCTCACAAATAGTACTTTTGATCACGAATCACATCGTCACTAAGGTATACTATTTCCTACAATGTACAATATTCACTTATATTTAGTATGTGACAAAAATATTTGTTTGTGACAAAAATAAAACTAATATTGTCACAAAAATATGATATTGTGACCATAACATCGTCATAAAAACCTCCTTTTGTGAGACAACTATTATCATAACAATGGCATCTTAAATTGGTAATAGTTGAAATACATTTGGTGATGGAAGAAAGTCGTCACAAATGGGTACTATTTGTTACAAGCAAAAGTTATCACGATTGCGTACGTCTTATGTGATGGCAAAATTCGTTATGAATAAAGCATAATAGCTTTTTTTGTTATCACGATTGCATATAAAGTTTATGAGGTGTTGTCTAAATTGATGTTGCTTTAGGTATATACATATGCAGCAAATAGCTTTTTTGTTACATAATCCAAAAAAAATGTTACATATTACTTTACACAACACCACATATAAAGGACACAACTAAAAGTGTTGCATATCGCATATGCAACACTTTCGACATTTCTTGCAACATCATTTTTCCCGTAGTATCTTTTAAAGAGTTAATTAGAAAGACGAGAGGGCGGCCACCGTAGAGCCCGAAGAAAAGAGTTTAATGGGTCAAAAATCAAAACCATGTAATTAATTAAACCACAAGCTTACTTCGTGCATAAACCAGAAGGAAGACGACGACGAAGGACGACATTATTGAAGAAAAGGAAACTATATTTTAATGTACACACAGTTACAGTCACAGTCACAGTCACAGTCACACAAACAAGGATGAAGGAAGGAAGCCAAGTACTGGGTGCTCCCTTTCTCGCTTCGCCAAACAAAGTTAGTCTGAGCAAGAAGGGGCATTTTGGATCGACTACTATACTATCACCATGGCAAATATATATTTTGAGCTGCAGGCCGGTAAGGGTTAGTTGTTGAAAATAGAGTTTAATCATTCCATCCCAAGTACCTTTCAACTTGGACGGGTAAGATGCGGTATAAAAATAACGCCAACGATATGCAAACTTAACTATGATCGGATCTCCACTAACACCAAACTCTTCTAGTCTAGAGGTCCAAAAGGTAAAAATGGAAGAAAAGGGATCCGGCCGGAGCACGGCCGGCGACGATCGAGCACCATCTTTAATTTGCGGCTATAAAAACGTTACGAAGCTGCTTTCAGGAATGGAAAATCATTCATCAATTAACTAGCTAGCACCAACCATTATATATATATTCCAAACAGCTAGCCATGGCAGCAGGTTTCATCTTCCCCAAACCATTCCTAGTCGCAGCCACGGTGGTGCTACTTATTACGGGATATTTAATGGGCGGCGGATCTTGGGCTGACGACACTACTCCTAAATATTGCGGTGACACCCTGGCGGCCGATCAGACCAATTTCCCTGGGTACGTTGATTTTGTCCTTCAGGCTCTGGTTTCGTATACGCACAACAGAGACGCAGACCCTACTACAGGCGAGACGAAGTTCGACGCAACAAATCCAGTAGATGGCGGTATCGGTGCGGCCACCGGGTACGCGATTTGTTACAGTGGCGTCATCGGAGATAGCTGCACCAAATGTCTCAGAGGTGGGTGGCCGTATGTGAGTTCATGCAGAAAGTTTACATCCGCCAGCATTTACTTCGACCAGCGCTGCTTCCTTCAGTTCTCGCAACTCTAACTTAAATCGTAACTCTCTTTTCTTTGTGGACTGGATAATATAATAATATAATATAATGACCCCACCCGTACGTATCTCTGTGCTTTGCTGTCCTATATAATACCGTATCTCCATCTGTGCTTTTAGTTTCCAACTACGTACCTACTGTATCAGTTCCTTACAAGCCAAGTTGCGTTGTATTCTGTTTTTCTTTTTCCCTTCAATCCAATAAAACTTTCCTTTTGATGACTAAACTACATATACTAACGTTTAGCTATAGCTTGAGACTTGAGTTATCATGAGCAACTAAATCCCTGCGCTTAATTTGGGTCAATTGCAGGGGTGAGCAATGATGATTCAACCCATGAATTTACTTGAAATCCACTAAAAGTTCGATTGCTTTTGACTCATGATCCATCCAAAATTTTAACCTCAAATCAGTGAAACTTTAACCTACTGTTTTACTAAACCATCCAAATAAAGATATATAAATATAAAATCACCTCAATTTGTATCAAAAGATCATTTGTTGGCTAAATCTCTAGTTATCCTTTCAGTTGAATATACCTTATATTCAGCCCGGATTTTAGAAGTGTTTTTCGGGGTCAAAAGCTGAAGCAGACCAAATATCTATTAAAGTTCGACTTTTAAAAAGCTGAAAAGCGCTTTTGCATAACATTAAAGCAAAATCTCCGATTTGGAGTTTCTGAGAAAATTGCTATTTTAAAAATAAAAGATTATCCTTACAATATTTTATTTTATTTCAGAAAATATAATTTTATTTCATTTATATCATCTTAAAAATAAAATAAACTATAAAATCATATTATTTAATATAAAAGAAATCTACAAGGTCTATTTTTACTAGGGGTGGCTATACGGTCCAGTCCGGTTAAATGGGCCCAAATTTATCCGGTCCCGGTCCGGTCTTTCCGTGAATATAAGGACCAAAGATTGGATTGGATACGATCCAGTCTTCACCCGGTCCGGTCCAAATTCCTTCTTAATTTTAGAACGAGCTTGTTGGGATTTGAGTGACCTGAGGACTTAAAGGGTGAGAAGTTGGTTAAGTTTTGGGTGTTGTACTCTCTTATCCGGTCTTTATCTGGTATTCGGTCGGATTCCGAAGAGTTTTTCTTACCTCAAATCTAAGACCGAATATGGAACTGGATTGATTACTATCTGGTCCAGTCTCGGTCCGGTTTGAGGTAAAACCAAAAAATCGGGACCAAATAGTCACCCCTAATTTTGACTACCTTTTAATGTTTAGAATTTTAATAATTTTTTATATTATAAATCCTTTATAGTCATTTTACATAACCTCTCATATTGAAAATCACTTCTAATAGTTTCAGAGTCAAACACTCAACTGCTTTTTTTGAAAAGTATTTCTCAAAAAGCTCAAGTCAAGGGCTGCTTTTGCAAAAGCTACATTAGAGCCAAACTAGCCCATATTCTAAAATTTATGGTTATTAAGAATATTTGTATAGACTAATTTGTTTCCATGGTTGGAAATCTATATTATATGGTGACTTCTATCGTACACCAGACATATATTGGGGTATGTCATACGCCAATAATCTCCTCCATCCACGTCCATCTCAACGACAAGCATTAATGTAGGGGTTTTTTTTGTGGGATTAAAAAATAAATCACATCAATTATGCTGGTCGTTGAGATGGAAGTATATGGTGGAGATTGTCTAGTATAGGACGTATATATATGTTTACAGTCTGTTATCAATCCTTGTTAATTTTTCTTGATTATATACTAATTTAGCTTATTGTATAGTTTGGGTTTATTAGTGTTCGTGGTGATTGTAGTTTGAAGACTTGGACAATTAGCTCGATTCAGTGGGTGATTGTGGCTGAAAGACTTGAACTATTAGCTATATTAGCACTGGGTCTGGCCCGTTGGCCGGCAAAGTTCCGCCAATGAATTTGATATATAATAATAGATATGATAGATGCTTTGAAACATATGTAATGACTATTTTGTACATTAGTGTGCACGTAACATATTTGAAACTGGTCTAACTGTGCATAATGTATTTAGAACTCCATAAAAAAGAATAAAATTTTGATATAAGCATTAAGTATAATAATTGAATAAAAAGTTAAATATAAATAATTTTCATTCATTACTTAAGTAGACCATATAGTTGGGTATTAGAGTTACTTCCATAATACATACATAATTAACCTTCAAAATGAAAGAAAATGATTGGTCTCTCTTAGAGTTCAATATATCATTGAAGTGTTTTTTTTTTTTCAATAGAGAGCACCTCTTTGACCATATCGCGGTTAATGGATCTAAAGTTGCACAATTTAAAATATATAGGACATGATGCAAGGTTATCACTAATAGTTACTTGGACAATGTATAGTGTATGAGTGAATGCCCAAGTGACTCTTGGATCTCAATTATTCCCAACAACAATGTAGTAATTTCCTTGCAAAAATTTATTTTTCATGAAATAAATTCAAATATGAAAATGTATGAAAATAAGAATATATGGAAGATACGTCCTTGCAAAGGACGAAGTTATGCAAACCTTTTACCATCGTTGAAGGAGATAACCGAAATGAAGTTAGATCAACAAATGAACAAATGTGTGCACGTTGTTGGCAACTTCATAAAATTCATCTTCAATGGTGTTTTTCATTGCCCTTAATATGACATAAGCATTGACATGTAACAAAGTTAATTATATGTAGCCATGAACATGTATATATATGCACTATGGATAAGAACAATTACTTACGGATTTAACAAATTGTGCAATGAAGGATAATTCCAGTCGAAATATAGTTTCGATGTTGGGGATGCAACAAAGTAATAGCTTCTTAGCAATGATGAAGTAACTAGTTTTTGGATTATGTTATTATAAGTGTGAAATGGAAATATAATAGTCAAAAAGTAGAAAGCCATTAAGTATGGCCTATCGTTAGAGGTGGCAAATAGATTGAATCCATTGATTGCTGGATTGGATTGGTAGATTCATGGATCAAATGGATTGGATCTAATGGATTGGATCAAATGGATTGATGGATTATCCATGAATCCAAATGACATCCTCAATATTGGACCAATATGTAAAATGTGAAAAGTTTAGGTACTAAAATGTCATAATGAAAATTTTTAGGTACCAAAAAGTAATTTTCCAATGATATTTTTCGGGCATCGCTATTCGTCGTCCTAAAATTTATTATTTGTCTCCCTAACTAAATTAAATTTACCTTAATGTCCTTTCATTTATTTGTCGGATAATTATGATAAACTGACACGACCTCATCAATTTCAACGACATCGGCGGAGGTGACGCAACCACCGGTGGCCTTTCGGATCTGAAACTCCAAAAAATGAAAAAATGTTTTAAACTCCTCGCCCTAAATCCCCAAATCACATCCACCTTCTGTCTTTATCTCTGTCTCAGTTTGCCGCCGACCCACTTGCGATTGGATTGCTTTCAATTGTGATTACCTCGGTGAGTTGCTTTTTGTTCTACTTCGTAGCAATTTTCTTGTTTTGGTTCCACATTGTTTTTAGTAGCAGGGTATTTCTTTTGTTAGTAGCCATCACAGTGAAATCCCCCTGTACTCACTTAGCAAAAAGTTTATTGATGATTTAACCAGAGAAAGGCAGGAAGGTGGTTTGCCACCACGATTGGGTATCTGGGTTGTTATTGTTGTTGTTTAGTGGGGAAAAGGAGCTAGAAGAAGGTTCTTGTTGTTGTTCAACTTAAAAATCGCTTCAAAGAACAGAGGAAAAGGGGCAAACGAAAAAGAAGGAATGAAAAATTGAAGAAACTCTGACAACGACAACAGAACAGAGCATCAACGACAGTTGGGTTGAGGTGGGCAGCGCCGGAGATAAAAATCCGACTATGGCAGCAGCGGTCAGAGGACAGAGAAGCTCGGCTAGCCGACCACTGGGCAGGAGAACAAAGATTTTTTTGTTTAGGTTGAAATTGAGGGTAAGAATGTCAATTTATTGTATTTTAGGGGGATAAAATTTAAATTTTAGGGCGACGAATATCGATTCAGTATTTTTCATATGATAATTTAAATTTTGGTACCCAAAATTTAAAATATAAAAAAGTTTAGTTACCAAATCGTAATTTGTCATTTGGATCCATGGATCAATCCATGAATCCACCAATTCAATTGGATCTAGATCAAATGAATTTAATTTAAATAGATTGGATTACGTGAATATTTTTAATGGATTGATGTATTGGATGGGTGGATTGAATGAATAATTGCCACCTATACTTATCGTGTGATTTGCCACATATATTACTGATGTAAGTACACATACCACACCTAACTCTGATTAATTGGGTATTACAACTTTAAATTGAGAAATCAAAGAGGGCGCTAGTTTTATCAAAACTCCCCTAATAAACATGAGGTGATAAAGTGAGATGGACACAACACAGAAATAATGCATGAAAATATGAAATCAGAAAAAAGTCATAGAACTAACTCCAATAGTTTTAGGTACACATTATTTTATTAGTTTTGTTGAAAAATTCATTCAAAAAATTCAGACGTTGGTTGTACATAGTGAACTTCACCAACCACGTCTGTGATACAAAATAACGAACAGAAATTTTAGAGTATAATATACAAATTAGCATAGGTAATTGCATGGGAAGCAGGATGTAAATTCCCTTTTCATTAGGTAGCACATAATGTGCCTCCCAACTTTAAATATTTACAATAGCAAAGCCTCTAAAATACATAAATCTAATAGTGATGGTAAAAAATGTGATTTAGAGTTGTAGAAGGGATGATAAAAATATAATCTTATTATTCCTCTTCGAGTTCAGGGAAACAAACATATTTTTGGAGGTTCATTTCACCATTTTGAATCTTAGTATAACTTAATTTAATAGTGGAAACAAATATATATATATTTTTTTTTTACAAAAGATAATCTTCATTGATTGAAACAAAAGATAGTTATACCCTAGAAAGCAGTCAGACCTGGAAATCAAAGAAATGACTAGCATTCGGGTACAAAGAGAGGGCCTTTCGAGCCACCAAGTTGGCTACCCTGTTACTACGCCGACCTACAAATCCAACATTAAACCCTGAGCGAGTCGCCAAGTGATGAATAATTTCAACAAGAATAGCACCAATTCGACTATCACTAGCATCCGCATGGTTGATTTTATCAATAATGACCTTCGCATCACCCTCAAAACACACCTACGTGATACCCAGACTCAGGAACCACATG